AAGTTTAAGAGAAAAATTTAAAGGACCTGTATGACCTGATGTGTGACAAGAACTGAGAAGCAGAATTCATTCTAAAATTGTTTTTACCTAACGTCCAAAATAATAATGAAAACTTCCCAGAACTAAAGGACAAGAACTCCCAGCTTATAAAGGTCCATGGAATGCCCTTAAACAAAAAAAGACCCATACCTAGACATACCATCACGGAATTTCAAGGGTTAAAAATATCCTAAAAACTTCTAGAGATTGGGGGTCAGTAAGGGAAGATCACATACAAATGAAGAATCAGATTGGCTTTGGATTTCAACAGTAACCCTGGAAGAAAGAAAACAACAGAACTACGACTTGCAAACTTGAAGTAAAAGTTACCTTCAGCTCAGAGTTTTATACCCAAATTATTGATCAAATGCGAAGTCAGAATAAAAATTTTTTTCAGTCATGTAAGATGTCAGAAAAGTTTTTGTTTTCCATGTATCCTTTCTCAGAAAGCTACTAAAAAACGTACTCCAAGGAAGTAAGTAAACCAAAAAAGAAAATACAGGAAACAGTAAACGGGAACCAGTACTAGAGAGGGCAAATAATTTTAAGGATGATGAAAAGAGAAGTCCCAGGAAAACAACTATGAAATAGGACTAGAAAGTAACTAGTCCTAATTGCATTAAGAGGTTCTAGGTTAGCTGTCTCACGAAATGAAGCAAACAACAACAAAAAATAATAACTTCTAGAAAAACAAAAATTTATCAAGAGAAGAAATGATATCATAGTATTCTACATGGGTCAGCTGTGAACATTTATATAGTTATAATATTGTAAACACTAAATATTGGTTTAAGAAACAGGTGTAACTATATTTGGAGGATGGTAGAGTCAGTGTGTGCATGTGGCAGGTGAGGTGAATATATATGTGAAACACTAAGGATCATCTTACTTAGAAGAAAGCCAATAATATCTATAATTGCTGTATCATGAAATAGCAGTAAAAGCAAGTCACTGTATTTGTAAATATGAAAGCAAACATAAGAAACAGCTAGGAGAAAGAAAATGGTAGCTTCTCAAGTGCAGAGGCTGAGACAAGGAACAGCTGCTTTTTCAGGTATTCTAATTTTAAATTTTTATTTTTTTAATGTTGACAAAACAAGGAACTTGAACAATCTCATGATGGTTATATTAGATTTTCAGTATTATTTCATGGTGTTAAACAAACTACATCCAGTTTGTTTTGCCAAAGAGACTGAACGGCTAAAACCAATCTTTAACGATCAATGTGAACACAGGACAAACAGCCCTATTTGAATCCCAACTCCACTACTTTGTAAAGTAAGGCAAGTTACCCAATCACCTTGCACACGTAATCACCACCTCAAAATGGTTTTGCAAGAACAATTAAGTGAAAGCAACTGATGCAGAACCTGACCCATCAACAGATAGTATTTTCGGCAGGTCTTTCTGTTCCTTAGCTGCAAACACCTATTCTGACCCCAAGCTGCCTCGTTGCTCACAGACTATATAGGGACTCATGGACAACTCAGCACATATCCCCCCTCACGCTAGAAAATCAATCATGATGAGTAAGCAGACTTATCTTTGTATATGAAGGGCAGCATTACTGTTGTTATATGAAGGAGATTATCCCCATTATCCACATTCTGGATTACTGCCTGCTTTCAAGAACTGTCCCAATTAGTCTACAGCACTTGGACAGTATTTTTTCATGTTCTGTTTTGTAGATTTGTAACATCTTAAAAAAAAAGAAAGAAACATACATTCCCATAGTCTTCATCCCTACTCTTCCAATGTACAACCTCAAAATTTTCTAATGCTGGCCCTATCTGGTCTCCAGTTGGCCTGAGGCCATCTCCTGCTTACCACAGCAAAAGAGAGAAATCAGCCCAAATCAGCTAATTAACTATTCACCACTTCCAATGTTTTCTTCCGTATTATGGCTAAATTCATAACACCATGCAAAGTACAAAGATACCTTAAAACAAAACAAGGAGTTATCTTTTATCACTAGGTCAGTCATCTTTACTTGCAAGACCAATCAAAGGTCTTAATTGATTTTATACACAGTATTCATACATCTAAAAACAATCTGGCAGACTTAAAAGCACAGACTTCATAAATCATTAAAACTCTATTTTATCATTAATTCAACAAACACTGCTAAAACACTGAAGATGAAAACAATAGGCTATAACCCTATTCTCAAATGTAAAGGGAAAAGGACCATCGAGAGCAACAGAGAATAAAGAAAATAATCCAGGAAACAACTGACAGCAATTCCAGATTACGTATAAAATAATTTTTAACATAGTTGAGACTAAAGAAAATTATAAAAATTGAACACAGCTCTGAGCCTCCTGACAGTCAAAAGTATGGAGAAACAGGATGGCTTACAAAACAATCTAATAAAACCAGTCATCTGTTTAAAAAAAAAAAAAAAAAAAAAAGCTTAATACTGGGGTCTTAGGAAGAATTTGTCTCCAAGGTCTAGGAACCAATAAATAAATTAGAAATTTCTTCATTAGATATAAATGAAGAAAATATGTTTTTCATGGCCCCTTTTGGTATGTATCAGTTCTAGATAAGATGTATATTAAATCATAGTTCTGTGAAGAAACTTCTGTGAGAACCACTTTATAAAGTAACATAATGCAGCTGGGCGCGGTGGCTCATGCCTGTAATCCTAGCACTTCAGAAGGCCGAGGAGGGCGGACCGCGTGAGCTCAGGCGTTCGAGACCAGCCTGGGCAAGACGGTGAAACCCCATCTATACTAAAATACAAAAAATGAGCCGGGTGTGGCCGTATGCGCCTGTAGTCCCAGCAGTCTCAGGCAGGAGACCTGCTTGAAACAAGGAGGCGGAGATTGCAGGGAGCCTGCAGGGAGCCCAGATCGCATCACTGCACTCCAGCCTGGGCAACAGAGCAAGTCCCCTACAACCCCCCCCCCAAAAAAAAATAAAATAAAAAATAACATAATGCAAGAACAGTGATTTCAGGTGATACCTTTCCCATTTAGTTTATTCTAGGTTTTTATAAATGTATGTTTTGTTGCCCTACAGGACTGTAAATTCCTCAAGGCTTATGTTGTCTGCTTCCATTTCAACTGCCTTTACTATTTAGTAGAGTGCTTTACAGTTGCTACTCAACTATAACTGATAAAATGTTATGCGGTCAATATTTGTAATATTAGCTTTCCCCACTACACTATAAATTCCATGAGAACAGTGACAGTGAGTTTTGATCGCGACTATATCCCTCCAAATCTAGAAGATCACTCTATAAGTATTCGCTGATTGAACGGATTAAATAAAGAAAACACAACGAAAAAGTATGAAAGGAGAGAAATAATTTAAATGGCAGTAACTTTGGGTTCTAAGGTTGTTCTCAACAAGAGCTAGAAGACCTCAAGTAAGTTACTTAACATTTGATTATTAATGCTTTCATCTGTAAAATAGAAAAATTAACAGATATTTCAGATTTAAATGTTTTTAATATATATAAAGCATTTAACACAATACCTGAAAAAGAACTCAATAAATGTTAATTCCTTTACTTTCTCTTACATCTCATCTATCCATAAAATAGTGCCTTCCAGGAATATATTATTTCAGTAAAAATACAACTACTCATTCTTACTTTCCTTTGAAAAATTAAATTGTCATCTCTTTAATCTTTAAAAAGGAGGGAAAAATAACTTGTGGACTGCTTTCAAAATATTACAAATGCAAAAGCTAGTTAAGAAAAAAACAAAGTCGAGAATGAGCCTTGTTGGTGGCACCCGCCTGTAGTTCCAGGTAATGGAGGGGATGCCTTGAGGCCAGGAGTTCCAGATCAGCAGGGGAAACAAAGCAAGACTCCATCTCTTAAGAAAAAAAAAACAGGAGGGGGAAATCACCTTATCTACTAATAGAGATTTTTAAGCAACCGTTTATTTAAGAAAAAAACGGTGCAATTCAAGTTAATATTACTTGACAGTACTCGTTTCAGAAAAAAAAAATACTCTGCATTGCTGGGTGTGGTTGCCCGAGACTAGTCCCAGCTACTTGGGAGGCCAAGGCAGGAGGCCAGTTTGAGCTCAGGAGTTGGGAGTACAGCCTGGGCAACATACCGAGACCCCATCTCTTTAAAACACAAAAATTCGGCAATCGTTTGTTCCGAGTTGAAACCTTAAAAACGAAATATTTTGAACGCTTTCACTTAAAAGTGGAATACGACCCAATCCCAGAAACATTACTTCATGACGACTCCCTTGACTCCAGTCATCCTTCAGTTTTATCCTCCAGTTGTGAGCTTAATCTGATACCTAGCTGTTTCCCTCGCATCGCCACTTTAACACGCGGTGTGCAGACCAAGTTCTGTCATTCCTGTAATTACCACACCCCCAATCAGCCGCTCCAGGCCCCTGCTGTTATGACATCTGTAAACTGCAGCCGGTCGTCTCCACCTCCCCGCGCCCCCGCCCCGCTTCCCCTACCTCCCTCGGGGCCGCCGGCTCCGACCCGGGCTGTAACGTGTGAATTCCCAAGACGGTCCCTTCTTGCCAGGGTTAGAAATTTTACACGCCACCCCTGCTCCTTCCTGCCTCTGTCAGAGCGCTCTGCACGGCCCACCCCCGCCTCCCGCCCGCCGCCCAGCCGCGGCGCAGGCTCCGCGCTCGCCTCCTCTCCGCCCGCTGCCTCGGCACTCCGCAGTCCCCGGCGCCGCTTACAGCCCTGCCGCCGCGCCACGCCGCCCCGCCCCGCCTCGACCGGCGTTCCCGATGGCGATCACACCAGGGCTCCCCACCCCCACACTCTCCTCCGCCGGCCGCGCGGCCGTTAGGACAGCAGGGCCCGTGACGCACGGACGCGGACCGAGCGTCCGGGCCCAGGCACCGCGGCTCGAGGCCCGGCCGGCGCCCACCCTCGCCCCAGGGCCTCTCCCGAGTCCCTCCCGGACTGCCCGGATCTGCCGGCGGGAGGGGGAGGGGCCGGGGCCGCAAAGCCCCCGCACTCACCAGGCTCAAGGCAACCGATCCCGGTGCCACCGCTGAAGTGAACCCTCGCTCGCCCGCCCGCCGTGCCGCTCCCGCGCACAACCTCGAAGAGCTGGCCCGCGCCTCGGCGGTGCTCAGCAGGCCTCGCTCTCCGCCGCCGCGCACCGAGCAGCAAGACTCAGCTCTGCCGGCGTTCGCAGTGCGCCTGCGTGCGGGGGCCGGCCCGAGCGCCTACGCGCGCCCCTCCGGCGCTTGCCGCAGAGGCTGCCGGGAGACGTAGTCTTGTAACGCTCTCTCGCCGCACGTTCCTCGCGATTCTCGCCCAGCCTGCGAAGAGTCGGGGATCGGGGACAGGAGAGGGTCTCGCTAAGGAGGTTTGCAGACCATAACAAAGGTTGGAGAAAGTTATATGTACAAACCTGTCTTTGCTAAGCTCTTCCAGGGCGGATCGATGTTCACCTCTGTATAGCTTCTAACAAAGTAGGTAACTAATACGCGTTGATGGAATGAATGATGGAATGATTGAAGACTGAGGGAGTATTACAAAATTAGTAGGTCAGCGCCTCGTGTCTAAAGGGCTCACATGCAGCATGAATGCAAGAAGCTTCTGGACATTCCTTTTTTAGTTATCTCCCATCCCCTTTGCTTGATAATGTATGAGTAGTATCAAAAATAATTAAGTGCCGGGTGCAGTGGCTCACACCTGTAATCCCAGCACCTTGGGAGGCCTAGGCGGGTGGAATACTTGAGGCCAGGAGTTTGAGACTAGCCTGGGCAACATGGCGAAACCCCGTCTCTACTAAAAATACAAAAATTAGCCGGGGGTGGTGACGGGCGCCTGAAGTCCCAGCTACTGGGGAGGCTAAGGTGGGAGAATCACCTGAGCCCGGGGTTGACGATGAGGCTGCAGTGAGCCGAGATCGCACCACTACACTCCAGCCTGGGCAATCGGAGTGAGACCCTGCCTCAAAAAAAATAATAATAATAATAATAATAATTAAGAAACTACATGAAACACAAATACTCGTTTTACTCTCAAGTGCTCTCAAACGAAAACTTGGAGCAAATGATTGTTAATGTTAAATTTGATGGAATTCTTTGGGGGAGCAAATGGAGTAGTGGCTTCAAAAGAAAAACTGAAGCCAGCCTAGCAGGGGTCACAGAATAGTAGATAGATTTAAAACATATGCCAAGAAGCAAGGTAAAAGAGATGAGGTAGATTAGTACATTTATAAATGTCCCAGGGAAGAGGAGAAGACAGAGGACCACTCTACCTGAATCCTAGGTTATGCAATGTTCATTTGTCCTGGACTTCACTCTGCTGCATCAGCATTCTCCCGCGATGTGTTTACTAAGATCAGAGTTGAGTTTGAGCAATGTGGCTGGGGAAAGGGAAGGTGTGTTCACCAGGAGAAACTTAAGGGCAAGTTTGCCTGACCCCAGCTAGACTGAAGACAGATCACCTTATTCCAATAAGGAGGTAAGATTGATTATTCAGAGCTGGTCTTCAGACTTCGGGAAAGCTAATTTATTTCCAGTTCACCCTTAATCCTAGCTAGTCCTTGATGGTCCCATCCAAAAGTCTGGGCTATTTACTCGGGCCTCTTCTCTTTGATGGGCCTTCTAAGGCCCATGAGACAACCATAAGCTCTGCTCACTTTTTCAGCCACTGCTTTCAGAGTCAGCAATCACCTTAGCTTTGGAAAAATGATGACAAATATCAGGCTCACCTCTGGTGGCTTCCTTTTTCTTCCAGATCTTGCACTCACAAATTCTCACTTCCTTGGTAGCTCTTCAGTACATTAACGTTTTTATATTTTGTCCAGTTGTTCTCTGTAGTGGAAAGGTTGATTGAAAACAACAGTAGGCCATTGCTGGAAGTTGAAGTCCTATGTATGTTACTTTTACAAAAGTGTTATCTTACTGTACATGATGTTTTATAAGCTAATGTCTCTCTGACAATATCATTTTATATTTTGAGAAATTTGAAATTATAGAACACTATTTTTTGTTATCACAAACAATGCTGCTATGAACATTCTTGTACATCTCTATTGTGTATAGGGAAACTGCTAGATCCTAGGACATTGCATCTTTAACCTTACTGTATATATTAGACAGAAATCTAAGATGGCCCCTATAATCTCTGGTCCCTGGTGTTGCCTATATAATCTCCACCCCTTGAATGTAGGTGGGACCTTTGACTTACTTCTAGCCAACAGAATATGGCAAAGATGATAGGATGTCACTTCCATGATTCCTTTTCATTATATAAGACTGTCTTTCCAGACTGGAGCTAGAGATTTGCTGCTGGCCTTGAAGAAGCAAGCTGTCATGTTGTGAACTGCCTATGGAGAAGACCACATGCCAGGGAACTGCAGATGGCTTCTAGAACTTGAGTGTAGCCTCCAGCTGACAACCAGTAAGAAGCCAGGGCCCTCAGTCATACAACTGCAAGGAAATGAATTCTGCCAACACCCTGAGAGAGGTCAGCCTCCAGATGAGAAGACAGCCTGACTTACACCTTGATAGCAGTTTTGTGAGATCCCGAGCAAAGGAAACAGCTAAACTGTGCCTGGACTCCTGGTCCACAGAAACTGTGAGATAATAAATGTGTCTTAACATACTATATTTATGGTAATTTATTATACAATAGAAAACTAATACACTAGACATTGCTGGATTATTTCATAAAGTAATTGTACCCATTTATACTCTATAAACGGTATATAAGATACTCTTCACTTGCTAACAGTTAGAAATGTCTGGCTTTTTACATTTTTGCCAATCTAACATATAAATTACTTGAACATAAAAACATGAAAAATAGATATTTACTTAGAATTGTGTATTCTGTTGTATTTCTTTTCTGTTGCATAAATGCAATTAAATAAAATAGCAGGCTGGGAACAGTGGCTCATGCCTGTAATCCCAGCACTTTTGGAGGCTGAGGCAGGAGGATCACTTGAACCCAGGAGTTCCAGACCAGCCTGGGCAACATAACAAGACCCCGTCTCAACACACAAAAAAATTAGTCAGCCATGATAAGTCGCACCTGTAGTCCCAGCTATTCAGGAGGCTGAGGTGGGAGGATCACTTGACACCAGGAGTTTGAGCACACCACTGCACTTCAGTGTGGTGACAGAACAAGACGTTGTCTCTTTAAAAAAAAAAAAAAGCAACTAGTAGTAATAAATAGAGGGACTAACTGAGCAAATAATATCTGTGAGAAAAATACAACAAATTCATAAGATTTCTTTCTTTCCTCTAGTATACCAATTTAGCTCTATTGCATATTTGAATTTTGTAGGCTATATTATATTCTTGAGAAAAATAAGTGTAAGAATTTTTTAAAGAATGTATACAATAGAGCTAATGAAACAGTTATTACCTATGGCCTCTTCGAGGATTATCAGACAGTTTCGGAGAACCAGCAGGTTTATTTCTGTTTTATCATAAACCTTCTCTCCATTCTCATCTTCAATGTATTTCCAAATTGAAGCAGCCCATGCTGTTTTGTTCCACACTTAAAGATATTTTATGGCAAGCCAACATTTTAACATCTTTTCTGTGGCCAGCTTCAGTGATAGCCACCTTATAGGCACGTGTTTAAGCAATCTATCTCCTTCCATTTCTATAAAGTCAAAAATTTTATTAAGTGCTTCTGTACATTTTGAGGAAATTGAAATGACCAAAAACTTTCATTGTCAAAGCCTCCATATCTCAGGTAAGCAAATCACAGCTCTCTTTTAGCATTGTTTAGCAGATGAGATCCTTTCATTTTATTTGGTAAGAAGTTACCAAGTTATTTTGACTGAAGAGAATTCGTCAAAATTATCATTTACATCAAAAGCAGATAAATGAGCCAAGTCTAGTTTGTATTTGGCCAAGATATGATACTCTTCGTTTTATGTTTCTGTGATTTTGTGAAAATCTTAATAGACATCAAGATGACAATTTGAAACTCCAGTTTTCAAGTCAAGTCACCTAAGAGCTAGAGGGAACACATTTTTTTTTTCTTTTTTTTTTTTTTTTTTTGAGACGGAGTCTTGCTCTGTCACTGAGGCTGGAGTGCAGTGGCATGATCTCAGCTTACTGCAGCCTCCACCTCCCAGATTCAAGTGATTCTCCTGACTCAGCCTCCCGAGTAGCTGGGACTACAGATGTGCACCACCACAACTGGCTGATTTTTTTCGTATTTTTAGTAGGAACAGGGTTTTGCTATGTTGGCCAGGCTGGTCTCAAACTCCTGGCCTCAAGTGATCCACTCGTTCGCCTTGGCCTCCCAAAGTGCTGGGATTACAGGCATGAGCCACCGCACCCGGCCCTCTTTTCTTTCTTATTATGTTGGACAGGAACTCTGATTGCTGATGAGTAGTAACAGGAAGCATTTATCGTCTCATTATTTCATGGGGAATCATTCTAATGTTTAATCATGAAATACTTGTTTTGGTGGCTATCCTTTAATGAATTGTCTATCAGGTGATTTTTTCTATATATTGAAATGAGCACAACCTTTAACATATTTATATGGTGAGTTACACTAATTGATTTTTGAAAGTTAAATTATCCTTGCATTTCTGAGGTAAACCCAAGTTGACTATGATTTACTTATTTACACAGAGCCAAATTATAATTGCTAATATTTTATTTAGAATTTGTACATCTACTTACATAATTTAATTCGTCTATAATTTTTTTATCTTATACTGTTTTCTATTTTTTGGTGTCAAGGTTATACTTGCCCTAAAAAAATTGTCGGGGAGTGTTCCCTCTATTTCTATTCTCTAGAAGATTTTATTTAAGATTAGAATAATCTGTTCTTTGAATATATTGTAGAATTCACTAATAAAGTCAAAATCATCTTAGCCTGCTGTATTTACCTGTTTGCTTGGTAGGTAAATTTTTAAATACCAATTCAATCTATTTAATAGATATTAGAAAATTCAGGATTTCTAGTTCTTCAATCAATTTTGGTAAATTATATTTTTCTAAGAAAGTCTATATTTTGTCCAAATTTTGAATTTATTAGCACAAAACTGTTTCTAGTTACTACTTTTAGATCTCTAGTGTGTCTTGGTTACATTCTTCCATTATTAACAATCTTTATTTGTACCTTTTCTTATATTTTCTTGATCCGTCTTACCAAAGGTTTGTCTGTGTCTTTAATCTTTACCAAAAAACAGCTATTCATTTTATTGTTCTCTGCACTGGATATTGTTTCTATTTCACTATTTTCTGTTTATATTTTCTTTCTTCAAGTTTGTTCTGATTTTCTTTTCTTACCTTAAGTTAGATGTCTGCCTAGCTCATTGATTTATTCCTTTATTTTTCTTAATATAACCTTTAAGCTTAGAAAGAATTTAAGCACTATTTTAGCTTTATGTCACAAGCTGTGGTAGTATTATTTTCATTATCATTCAGTTCTAAATATTTTCTATTTTGTTATGTTTTCATGACCCATGGGATATTATTTTGAAGATTATATCTAATTTCCAAACAGATTTATTTTAAGCTATTTTAAAAATTGAATTATATGTTAATTGCATAATGGATGATGGCCAGACAATATAGACCCACTGAGAATGTCTTTAAAACTGTTGAATTCAGTTATTTCTTGTCTAGGGTCTTTGGCAAAAAGTAAATAAATAAAAAGAAAATTGTTAAATTTGGAATATGGTCAATATACATAACTGCTCAGTGTATTTAAGAGTATTCAGCGTATTTAATGTATTCTCTCATTGTGTGAGGATTTCTATACATATAAATTAAATAAAAACTGTGTAACTCAATTCTATATTCTCACTAATTTTTTTTTTACTGGGTCATCTACAAGTTACTGAGAGAGCTGTTAAATCATTATGATAGTGGATTTGTCCACTTTGCCTATAATTCTGTCAGGTTTTGCTTTAAATAGTTTGAGTCTATGCTATTAAATGCATATGGGCTTAGTTTTATGTCTATTTCTGATGAATTAAACCTTCTGTTATTATCAGGTAGCTATTTTTATCCTTAATAATCCTTTTCAACTTAACATCTATTTTGCCTGATTTTATTTTATTTTATTTTATTTTTTGGAAACAGGACCTCAATTTGTTGCCCAGGCTGAAGTGGTGTGATTTCGGCTCACTGCAGCCTCCACCTCTTGGGCTCAAGTATTCCTCCTGCCTCAGCCTCCCAAGTGGCTGGGACTACAGGCACGTGTCACCATGCCTGGCTGATTTTTGTATTTTTTGTAGAGAGCAGGACTCACTATATTGCCCAGGCTGGTCTTGAACTCCTGGGCTCAAGTGATCCGCCCTCCTTGGCCTCCCAAAGTGCTAGGATTACAGGCGTGAGCCACTGCACCCCAGCCTATTTTGTCCAATTTTAATATAGCTGTACCAGCTTTCTTTTGGCTAGTGTTTGCTAATTACATTTTTTCCATTTTTTAATTTTTGATCTTGCTGTAGTTTAATGATTTTTGTTATGTCTCCTACAAACAATATGTAGTTTTTAAAAATACAATCTCTTAATCTGTGATTTACCTAGCAAGTTTAATCCAAATTACACATATTGTGATCACATATACATTTGGAATTATTTCTACCATTTCATGTTGTTTAATCTTTCTTTTTGCTTTATTTTTCCTCCTTCCCTACTTTCCCTGATATTTTCTTTCTTCTTCTTTTTTTTTTTTTTTTTTGGTTTCCTGAGTTGGGGTCTCTGTCACCCAGGCTGGAGTGAAGTAGTACAATCATGGCTCACTGCAGCCTCAAACTCATGGGTTCATGCAATCCTCCCGCCTTCATCTGCTGGGTAGCTGGGACTACAGCCACACACTACCACGCCCAGCCCTGACTTTTTAAATTCAATTTTTTTTGCCTACTATTTGGAAGTTACATGCTTTATTTCTCTTCTTTTAGTGGCTCTGTTAATTGTCAATGTGCTTAATAAACTTAATATCTCCAATCTCCTCTTGCAAGGACTTATTTATTTCTTTAGAGATGAAGTCTTACCATGTTGTCCAGGCTGAAGTGCAGTGGCTATTCACAGGTGCAATTACAGCACACTACAGTCTTGAACTCCTGATCTCAGGGGATCCTCTTGCCACAGCCTCCAGAGTAGCTGGGACTACAAGTGCCTACCATAGCACCTGGCCCAGTGTGAGGACTATTAAACATTTTAACTGTAGTCACCACTCTACCATATTACATAGTTCATTTTCCAGTATTTTATTTCAGTCTTATTGCCAAAATTAGACATTTCTATATGTTGCTTTATAAAGACAATGGTCATCATGATGTGTCCATATTTACCGTTTCTTTGCTCAAAATGCCTTCTTGCAGCTTAAAGTTTTCTTTGATTTCTCCCCTCATCCTGAAGTATTAATATATCCTTTAAATTTTAAGTTCTATAAGTGAGAGCCCATTGTTGGTAAACTCGGTTTTTGATGATCTGTGATACAGTATGGCTCTGTATCTGCACCCAAATCTCATGTTGAATTGTAATCCCCAATGCTGGGGGAGGGAAGGTGTGTAGTACCAGCCGCTTCACTCTCTCCCTCTCTCTCTCCTGCTACTACGTGAAGATGTGCTTGCTTCCCCTTCACCCTTCCACCGTGATTGTAAGTTGCCTGAGGCCTCCCTGGCCATGCCTCCTGTATAGCCCGTGGAACTGTGAGTCAATTAAACCTCTTTTCTTTATAAATTACCTAGTCTCAGGTAGTAATTATTTATAGCAGTGTGAGAATGGACTAACACAATCTGTTAGTGTCTTTATTCAAAAATTATGGCAAAATGAAAGTTCAGCTAATTGTAGAATTCTAGGCTAACAGTTAACTTCTCTCAGCCCTTTGGAAATATACTAACGTCTTCAGACTTTCATTGTTGCTATTGAAAAGTGTATTCATTTTTTTATGGCTGTCACAAATTACCATGACTTTACTGGATTGAAAGAGCACAAATTCATTGTTTCAAAGTTCTGCAGGTCAAAAGTCAGGAATGGATCTCACTGGGCTAAAATCAAGGTGTTGGTCAGCTGGCTTTATTCCTTTCTGAAGGTTCTTGAGTTTGTTTCCTTGCTCATGCAGGTGTTGGAAGAATTCAGTTACATGCAGGTAAAGAACTGAGGTATGTTTCCTCACTGGTTGTCAACTGGGAGCTACCCTTTACTCTTAGAAGCTCCTCTCTGATCCTTGCACATAGCCTCCTACATCTCAGGATCAAATTCTTCCCATGCTGCCATCTCTTTGACCCACCTAGTAAGCATTCTCTATTAAAAGACTTTCGTGATTAGATTGGGCCCACCTGTGTGGGAAGGACATTATTCTGCCAAACAAAGAAATGGGCTGTCAGTCTAACTGTCTTTCCTTTGTAGATGATTTGGCTGTTCTCTTCAGCTGCTTTTAAGATCTGGCTGTTTCTTTGTATGTATTTCTTCTTATTTACCCTTGTGAATACTGACTCTCTTCCATTCTCTTTTAAAATTCCTATTAAGCCCAAACTAGATCTTTCTTCACTCTTTCTCTCTTTCTTTTCTTAACAGGGTCTTGCTCTGTCACCCAGGCTGTAGTGCAGTTGCTCCATCATGACTCACTGCAGCCTCAAATGCTTGGACTCAAGCAATCCTTCAGGTAATTTGTGTGTGTGTGTGTGTGTCTATGTGTGTGTCTGTCTCTGTGTGTGTGTGTGTGTGTGTGTGTGTGTGTAGATGGGAGTCTCACTATGTTGCCCAGGCTGGTCTCAAACTCCTGGCCTCAAGTGATCCTCTCACTTTGGCCTCCCAAAGTGTTGGGATTATAGGAGTGAGCCACAGCACCTGGCCAGCTAGGTCTTTCATATCTGTCCTCTCACTCTCAGCTCAGCTGTGCACCACAGGCCTCAAGCGTGTGTGGACACTTCAGCACCCATGTCCAAGCCGCATACATACAAATGATCATCCATTGGTTATTCTTGATGCAGACTCTGGTACAGCCCACACTCAGGAGGAGGGATGCAAGAAAGAGACCCGATCAAGCCCTGGAAGTAGACTCAGAGCTGTTAGGGCAGGAAATTTGGGGGCTCTGCTTTCCTAGTGGGTGATTTAGGAATGAAAAGTGCAGGGTCCAGATGAATCCAATCTCTTGGCCCTGTGGAGTCCTCACCTTGTGAGCATGGGCACAACTGGAGGAGGGCTAGAATGAGACCCTCTTAAGTAAGGAGCCTAAGGCAGTGGGCCTCTCAATCCAGGGGGAAAGGCAGATCCCCTCTTACTCAGATCCAAGGGCAGTGCCATATGAGACAACAAGCACACTTCTTTCAACAGGGAGAATGCTAGTAAGGTAAGGCAAGGAAGAGGAGGAAGTGTTCTGTGCCAGGGGTTGAGGATGTGAGGTCAGGAAAGTTTGGAAGTACACAGAAATGTGGATTTAAAAGTAGGCAAGAGATGCATGGTGAAATTAGCTGGCCTCTACATTGCAAGTAGAACTCTGTAGTCAACTTTGGGCATAGTTACAGCAGATTCAGCCTTTATAAGGGCTATTCTCTCTACTTAAACAACTCTTCTGACTGCTCCTGATTTGCTACATCCCTTATGTTCTCAGCTTGAATTTCACTTGCTTTAGGCCTTGCCCCAAGTCTCTGATTAATCTATCCCTCTCCCTTTAAAATTTTTCCACAGAGTCTATACTTCTCTTTTTGTTATATCTAATCACACTTGTTAAGTTGTCCATGGTTGCCTTTTTGATTATTCAGGCTAAAAGGTTTGTGAAGACATTTGTCTTGTCCGACATATCCCAGGACCCACAAAGTGGCTGAAATGCATCTGGTGGTCAATATATATTTGGTGCATTGATAATATGTCCTCATGGTGTTTGAGTGGCATTACTTGATATAGCTGAATCCAAACAGAATATCAGCTTTTTTATGTCCTTCCACTTCAAATTGTTTCATTTTACACATAATTTTTCAGAGCCAGTTAATCAGACAAAGATGATTTATTTTCGTATCTAAAACACTTTATAATATTCTCTGGAAAATCTAAAATCATGCTGTTTTCCTAATATTTTTATACTGTCATCATTTTAGAAAATAAAAGGCCTGGGTTATATACTAGAAAAGTTTCTTCATTGTATGCAAAATATTTATCTCCTCTAGTAAAGGAGATTAAAGAACAACTGCAAGAGGAAGGAAGGTCCTGAAAGTTTTTCATTTGGTATCTACCTACCCCAACCCCAAGACATAAAGACAGATAAAGGCACTAAGATGCTAGTATGTGGCTAGGCCTTTCAATAACCCAGTCAGTCCATACAGATAATCCATGGGATATATTCAAGCCATTCTCTGAGCCATCGATGGTCATTATTTGGTTAGTTCACCCAAGGTAAGGGCATACCAGCTGTTAAAATGATGTAGAGATTAATCAACGGGGCTGCCACTTGTTAATCCCCTCCAGGGATGCTGTGCAAAGGGTCTCATTGGTCCTAATGAGTCATCTTGTGACTGTACATAATCCTGGGTGCATATCCACAAATACTGAGGTATAGCCTGCATACCACTAAAAATAACAAAGGTTTCAGGGCTGGAGACATTGTCAACCACACTGTCATGACCATCTACAGCTCCAGGGCCCAGTGGTGGGGGAACAATATTTAACGGATGTCCCTGGCAAAAGGAGCCTGTGAGTACTTCAGCCTCGAACACATAGATCAGCTTATCTGCAGCAGAGATTTTCTTGGCCTTCTCTGCCAGGTTTTTGAGGTTCTTGGTGAAGTATATGCCAGCTCCGTATTTTGGCTCTGATAAAGAAAAAAAAATAATAAAAAGATATTATAATCTGGTAAATGATATTGCCGATTTGGGTACTAATATCTATTCTCTCTCTAGTCTTCCAAATAATCACTTCCTCCTGGTTCTGAGTTCCTGTGTCTATAGCAAAGGCACTAAAAATTGTTCCTTGAAACAAATTATCACTGACACCATCAACATAATAATAACTTGCATCCAAATATGCCATTAGGGCCGGGTGTGGTGGCTCACTCCTGTAATCCCTGTACTTTGGGAGGCTGAGGCGGGTGGATCACCTGAGGTCAGAAGCCTGGCCAACATGATGATACCCTGTCCCTAATAAAAACACAAAAATTGAGCTGGGCGTGGTGGCAGGCACCTGTAATCCCAGCTGTTCAGGAGGCTGAGGCAGGAGAATCACTTGAACCCAGGAGTCAGAGGTTGCAGTGAGCCAAGATCGCACCACTGCACTCCAGCCTGGGCAATAAGAGTGAAACTCTGTCTCAAAAACAAAAACAAAACAAACAAACAAACATTAGTGTTCATAGAGAAGTTAATGGTTTTCAAAGCATTGCACATTGATTAGATTAAATTATCTGTGATTTGGGTAGTAACTCCATGTAAAAGACAAAGATCTGAGATTCAAAGAACTTAGATTCAAGCCAGTATTATCAACTAAGTAGCTGACAGAGCATAACAAAAGGAAGGTTCTGTTTCCCTTAGAACATTGTCTGACTTCTACATGCTACAATAGAGATATTTCCAGAACTCTCAAGAAGATGGTTTGAAAATAGCATCTAGTAAGAGAAGACAGAGTGCCTCCTAACCTCATGAACAGCATTACAAGAAAAATATGTCACCTGGGACTGGTGGCACACACCTGTAATCCCAACACTTTGGGAGGTCAAAGTGGGTGGATCGCATGAGCCCAGCATGGGCAACATGGCAAAACCCCATCTCTACAAAAAATACAAAAAGTAACCAGGCATGGTGGTGCACACCTAAAATTGTAGCTACTCAGGAGGCTGAGGTGGGAGGACTGATTGAACTCAGGAGGTTGAGGCTGCAGTGAGCTGTGACTGTGCCACTGCACTCCAACCTGGGTGACAAAGCAAGACCCTGTCAAAAAAAAAAAAAAAAAAAAAAGAAGAAAAATATGTCAAGGGGAATGTGGAGTATATAAAATATTACTGTGCATACTTCATTGTTTAGGAAAAGCACTCCTGGATTTGGAAGGACAGAGGCATTCTAGTCACCAGGAGGGTACTGTGTATTCTCCATGGGTTGGCACAATACCTCATGAAGAATCTCCAAGTGCATGTTATCTAGGTCCATGCTCACCAGGCAACTTTCCACCCATCAGGCACTCTGGGGACTGTGATATTAAGGAAGAAATGCCCTATTCCGACCACTAGAAATGAGTACTCTTCATTCTGACACATTGCCTGTGATCTGTATTACCTTCTTTGGAGTATTAAAAACACTCGGGAGGCTGAGGGCAAAATTCTGGACCTCAAAGGAATCCCTGTTCAATGCCCTTTCTGACCTCACTTAGAGGGAAAATAAATTATACCTTCTTTGATGCCGTATTATCCTTCCTTCCTTTCCTTTTTTCCTTTCATTTCCTCCCTCTCTTTCTTTAAGTGGGACATAACCAAACACTTTTAGGCTCAAGGGCAGCACTGAACAATAGAAACGTACTACGAGTCACGCATGTCATTTAAAACTTGCAGGCTGAGTGGCTCATGTCTGTTATCCCAGCACTTTGGGAGGCCAAGGCAGAAGGACTGGTGGCGGTCAGGAGTTTGAGACCAGCCTGGGCAACACAGTGAGACCTAATCTCTACCAAAAATAAAAAAAATTAGTCAGGTATTGTGGCACTCACCTGGAGTCCCAGCTACTCTAGTAGCCACATTTTAAAAATGTAAAAAAAAAAGGGTGAAATTCACATATTTATTTAAGCCATTCAAGACGTTATTTTAACATGTAATCTATATTTTAAAAAGTATTAGATATTTTACATTCTTTTGTAGTAGGTCTTTGAAATCTGGTGTGTATTTTATACTTACAGCATCTTTCAATTTAGATCAGACACATTTCAAGTGCTCAATAGCCACATGTAGCTAGTGGCTACGGTATTGAACAGTGCAGCTCTGGAAATTTAAAAGTGAGTAAGACATGATCCCTATTCTCAGTATTTCACAAAGGGAAGTCTCTGCATGTAAACAGATTAAATATAGTACAATTTATGTGGCAAGGTAATATTTTGAGATAAAAATCAAAGATTTTCTTTCCCAGGAGTTTCTTCTTGCTCTTTGTTCTTCCACCTATTGAGTCCTTGCTACTTCTTATTAAGGATGAAAAAGATAAAGTTGAAAACAAAGTCTATATATAAATATATGTATAGTTTTTTGAGAACTGCCTGCTGGGTGCAGTGGCTCACATCTGTAATTCCAGCACTTCAGGAGGCCGAGGCAGGCAGATCACGAGGTCAGGGGTTCGAGACCAGCCTGGCCAACATGGTGAAACCCCATATAATTATAACATAATATTATAATATATATTATATTATATATTATATATTATATGTAATTATATTTAATTCACAGAAGAGAGTATGGTCTTGAAATTCTGGCTTTCAGAGTTAGCTTTTCTGAGAGGAAGAGGGCTTTTTGAACCAAAAGCTACAAACTAGAAGGATTCACAGCATGGGATTTTTTACCATAAATGATAGAGCAGACAGTAATATAACATATTCTAAGAACATTTTTCTCATTTCAAGACAAATGAAAGTTCTTTCTTCCAGCTGGTGGGAAGAGAAGTATCAGAAGTGACGTGACTAGAGCTCTTGGGGGAGCTTGGGAAAGGGCTCCCTTTACTACCCCTACTCCCTTGAGAGCCCTGGGAGTCAAGAGGGGGCAGAACAATGGAAGTCTCAGAATAAGAACAACTGGAGGGACTTGCAGAGCAGACAGACCCTGGCCTGACTCTAGTGGGTGCAGTCCCTCATCCAGCCTCATCACCTGAGTGGAGATAGCAATGGTTGGAGAAGTCTCTGGAGCAGGAGAGGACCACTACCCAAGACCCTGCACTCAGCTTGGAGGATGAACATGCTTAAAAATTTCCTGTGTGGCAGGAGGAACACAGACATGGCCTGGAAAGGAATTTCTTCAGCATGGAAAAGACATAGAGTGGCCTGTGCAGACACTGAGTGTAAAAGGCACAGGAGAGTGCTAATGACCAAAGCTCAGGTGGTTTATCAAGCAGAGGACAATGGGAGCCATAAGCCAGACAACCCTCCTCACATACAGAAAAGAGGAGAAAAGGGGCAAACACTGCAGGAACTGAGTTTCAATCTTGAAGGGACTATGAAAACTCTGAAAATGACTGAGTTCACATTGAACTGTCAAGATTCAAATTTTCCACATCTGTGGACATGGGGAACAGGACAGTTGGGTAAAGTTCCATTATAGAGCCATAAAGGAAATGAGTTCTATGCCTGAGTTTCATAGGACAATAGATTTTAGTACTAATTAAAGTTATAGATGTCATAACAAAGGAATGGAGGTAGGCAGGAGTACAGAGTAGGAAGATACTTACTAGGCCTGCAGGCCTGCAGGAAAGATGCCAACCAGGAGATGCCATTTGTACTATGTCTTGAAGAAAGAATAGGGGTTTGTAGTACTGAAAAGGGCAAGGAGGGAAGTCATTCCACAGACAACAGGAGAGAGGCATGAAAGTACATAGCATGTTTAGGGAACTCTAAAAAGTTATGGCTGGAGTCTTGAGGAACATAGTGGGTGATGACTGCTGAAATGATGTGGGAGCTAAGGCCTTATATTCTCTGCTAAGGAGTTTGGGCTTTTATCTCATAGGCAACTGGGAATGCAGATATTAAGCAAGAATGTAATTTTTAGTGTGATAATTCTGGTGGTAAAGGATAGATTAGGCAGGGGTGTGTTTTGTGGCAAGGAGAGGACCTCGTAATAGTCTAGGACTAAAGGACGATGAACTAAGGCAGTAGGAATAGAGAGGTGAAACTGAGCTCAGATCTTCATGAGATTGAATCACTAGGACTGGGTGAATGCCTGGATATAAGGGTGAAGGAAAAGGAGGAATAGAGGATAATAATGTTTCAGGCTTAGGAAACCTGGTAGGTAGATGGTGATGATATTAACCAGGTTAGGGAGAATCAGCAAACAAGGGGCATATTTCTTAGGGAAAATCATGGCCAAGAAAAGAGATCAATTTGAGATACCTATGGGACATCTGGGTAAATATGTCAAAAAGAGAATCAGATATATGAACCTGCAGGTCAGGAGAGAGGTAGGGAGTTAAGAGTTGGAAATTCCTAAGTCATCATCATTAAGGTAGCAGTTGAGGCCATGGGAATAGGTGCCATCACCAAGGGGGACATTGTAGAAGAAAAAGAGAGAAGACAAAGAAGGGGCAACAGATGAACTCATGAGATTATAAATTGTAAGGGCAAGAACTCTATGGTTTTTTATTTATGCACTATTTCTAGTACCCCTAGCACAGGGCCTGATTCATAGAATGTGCTTAATAAATACCTGTGGAACAAATGAATCAACCCAATAAGAAACTGCATGTGTAGATGCCTTCTTGCTGTACTCAACCAAGTCCTACAAGCAAGAGATTTATTCAGAACTGGCTGGAGTGCAAACATAAACAGAAAAAAGAAAATAAAGCTTTGTTAACAGAAGTTCCCTCTCCTTTGCCTGTGGGTGGCCATCTACATTGACTGAGAGTCCTATAATTTGGAACACTGCAGGGCTGAAAAAGCTAAGAGCTTTTGTACTCCATATAATAACAGCTTCAGTGGTAGCAAGACTGGTATCTCCTGGGCTTGTCTGGCACCTTCTGTTAAGGGTTCTCACCAGCCTACAGAGATGAGTCAATTGGTGCAGGTCACATTATGGGTCATGTCTGAATTGCCTCAAGGCAGTGGCTGTTAAACTAAAGGTTAGGGAGAAGGGAAGAGCACACAGACAGCAGGTAAGAGACCAAAATCTTGAGTTGAAAGACTATGTGGAGACAAGATCTGTGGTTAGGTTATAAAGACATAAACTTAACCAGAAGAAATTAGGCCTCATGCCCACTTAATTTTTAAAGGAACTATATTGCTGAAGAAACCACAAGCCTGGTTACAACAGTCTGAGCACATTCCAGCCTGTGAGACAATCCATGGCTCCCTGATAGGCAATGAACCTGGAAATAGCCAAGGGCCGCAATATATAAGGAAGATTTTCCCAGAGTGCAAAATAAAGGTTTTACAATATGGAATAGAGAGTCCTCCCTATCATCAGCAGCATGTAGATAAGCGGTGTGAGCCAGTGGCTGTTGTGTGTTTTGCTTCTCCCCTTTCAACATGAGAGTTTTCATTGCAGTTTTCCTGCTCCTTTTCATAATCACTATATAATGGGTAAGTTGGGGGCAGTATCTTGCCTTTAAGCTTTAAGACAGAACTGCCTACCGGGCACGGTGGCTCACACCTGTAATCCCAACACTTTGGGAGGCTGAGGTGGGCGGATCACGAGGTCAGGAGCTCGAGATCAGCCTGGCCAACATGATGAAACCTCGTCTCTACTAAAAAAAATACAAAAATTAACTGCGTGTGGTGGCACACGCCCGTAATCCCACTACCTGGGAGGCTGAGGCAGGAGAACCGTTTGAATCTCAGAGGCGGAGGTTGCAGTGAGCCAAGATCATGCTACTGCACTCCAGCCTGAATGACAGAGCAAGACTCTATCTCAGAAAAATAAATAAATAAGGAGAGAACTGCCTGAACTTGAACTGATGATGAGTCTGGCTAAGACCTTGGGACCATATTCCTTGGGAAGATAGTAGGTGTCTTACTTGTTTTGGTAAGAAAGATGTGTATAGATGTTGAGCAGACAAGTAGCAGGGTCTGCCACAGGACTGAAAAGAGAATACTCACTAGATTTGGAAAACAGGAGCACAGCGATGATCTTAATGAAAGTAATTTAAGCAGAAGTAATGGGTGGGGATTGCAGAGAAGCCAGCTTTAGGAGCAAATGGAAGTTGTAGATTTTTTGAGACTTTGCTAATGAAGGGACTATACTGATCATCACTTTCCTGGTCGCCCCAAAAGGCTTCTTGGTGGGGATTCATTTCTCTATTTTTATCCCCAGTAATTGTCTATGTTCAATATTTACCCCAGGTTTTGCCTATGTTCTCTCCAGAACAAAGAAAAGATGATTTCTAGAGCCTTTGCATCCTAGAAACCAAGTCTATTGGAATTGACTCCTCAGCAAGGATCATGCTATGGAGTGCACGTATTTTGAAAGCTAAAGATCAAGAGCCGTATATTTAACGGACCAAGCAAAATCAAGCCACCCTGCTAAGTACGTCTCCATAATTATTACTAAACTTCTTTTCCTCCTTTGGAAAGACCTAAAGCCAGAAATCTTCATTACTGACTGAGGAGTAGAGGGGGCAATATAGGAATTATATATGCAATGTTTTTGTACATCTGAAAACAGACATGGGAGTTACACATAGAACTCCTATGACTAAAGAGGATCTTAAGATGCTATGCACCTCACCTGCCAAATGATACCTAATTCATCCACCAGCAGGCTATAGGAAATAAAGGGATGAAAGAGAAAAGACCAACTTTCTTAAATTTAGGAAAATGCCCTTTTAATTAAGGGATGAGGATGGTTCAGTGCTGTTGGTAATAATTTTGTTGAGATAAGTAAGGCAAAAAAAAAAAAAAAAAAAAAGCCACAACGTGCTCTCTGCAGATAGGACACAGAAACACATAAAGGAGAAAAACAGTGAACCGTAGTTCTTACTGCTCACACTTTTCATCAATGTAAAATGCATCAGCAACAAAAGATACAAAGGAAAAGTAAAAAGTACCACTCTTTCCAGAATACTTCGTGACCTGGGTCATTATTCGTGACCTCTAAATCGCAGTCACAAATGATCCCTTCCCCCCAACAACAAATGCTATTAGTGGAAGCATCTACTGATGTCAGCTCACCAAATCCCACAGAGTAGCCCCAATGATGAGGCATTGACACCTACCGCAAGGCACCGAGTACATTCTTTGAAAGCCAACTCTGCATACCACATTGCAGAACTGGTATGGGACTTGCTGAAACAGCCTGTGGCTCACTGATTGCCTGGGCAGTTTTCCTTCCATCATTTCCTTCTTTCTTTGAAAGGCAGCCATAAGAACCTTATTTTCTATCTTCTCCACCTAGAATCATAGAAAAGAAAGACTGAAAAAGAGGCTAGAAAAAGAGCTGCAAAGCTCTCTAAATTGCCTATTATATTGCTTCAAAAATAAAGGAGCTTATGTGCATAATATTACTTTGCACGCAATTCGCTTTTCATATAAAGTTGCAAAAGAGTCTCTCCTCCCTCTAATCCTCTCCTATTTTGATTCTGTCTCTTCAAAATTCCCTGCCCCTTCTCTAATAAATTTCTTTAACAAAAATTCACTGACTTAGACATAATGTCTGCCCTCTTAAGCTCCTAGTTTAGTGAGATAGAAAAATAGGTAAACAATTATAACACAGTGTGATAAATGCTATTCCACTTCTTTTATTTTGCTCAAAGACGGGCTTCCTGGATCTGGAATCTGCTTCTGTGTGTCCTGACGTCATTTCTACCTCCCGATTCCAACTATATCCCTCGTGCCTGCCCTGCCTTGCTTTCTTCTCGGTCTTACTGACCTAGGATTCCAAGTCCATGAGCGGCCAGCTTAGAATCATCAGCAGGTGAGCTTTTCCTTGGGCTACAGAAGCAAGTTAATTAATAACAAAATGAGCCAAATCCTCCCCTTTGTTAGGTATACCTTTATAACCTGCAAACCACATTTTTCAAACTGCTTCTTTTGATCTTCAAGCTCTTGAGTTAGAGGCACAGGACATTTCAGAAATATATTTTCTTTCATTTTGTCTTGAGTATTTTGTTGCTGATTAGTCCACTGTCCTAAAAATGAGTAACACAAAAGCTTTGTTTCAATGCTCTGAGAGAGGAAAAAGGAAACTTAATGAAACAAATTCTAGAAATTTAGAGGGATTAGCCAGTTTAAATTGTGTGCCTCATGCATTTAGGACATGCAAGGAGAGCTATAATACTATGAGCAGTCAGGATAAAATAAAGGGGTAATAAATTTGTCTTTAGATGATTTGAACCATGAGGCTAAGGGGATGTGAGTAAAAGGAGCATAATATATACTTGCTTCTCCACAATCAATGCTGTAATAATGAGAAATAATTGTGTTGCTCATAGGGAATGTTTTTATTTCTAGCCCCAATGCCTATCAGCAAAAAGAGACAGGCATTAGAAAATATTAAATAAGGAATGATAGGAAATGACATGACATTTGTAAAACACTTCAAAATTTTCAGTTTCCTTCCTTATTTGATCATTATAGCACCACCATGAAATAACGCCATTTTACAAATAAAAAAATTGAAGTTCAAATAAGTAACTTGCCCCATAGCACACACCTAGTAAGTAAAGAGCTAAGATTACAAACCTGGCTTTCACCAATGCTTTTTGTAAGTGACAAGGCAAAATACTTGGAACATGCATCACTCATATACCACCCAATGAAGAAGAGCAAAATTTGGAGATTAAGAGTCTATAGTGTCTTGTTTTTCCTCCCTTCCTCTTTTCTCCTCCTCCTATTTTCCTCCCTCCCTCCCCTCCCTCCCTCCCTCCCTTCCTCCCTTCCTTCCTTCCTTCCTTCCTTCCTTCCTCCCTCCCTCCCTCCCTCCCTCCTTCCTTTTTTTCCTCCCATCCTTTTTTTCAAGAGGCAACCTGTTTTTGTCCAAAGGAGCTCCTTACTGGACTAAATATACAGGTGGACAATGAAACCAAAAAAGACTTGTTTTCTCTTGGTTTATTTTTAGTTTGACTTAAGACCAAGTATACTAAAATGACCTAATCCCCGGTCCATTATCTAATTGAATGGGCTCAATTTAACCATAAAAAGCAGGTGACGAATTGAGGGAAACTCACTAGAGAGCCAAGTTGTAAATCTGAGAAAGTGGGAGGGACAAAACTCCATAGCAGAGGAGCTGCAAAGACCAGAAACTTCAACAGAAGACTGTAAATTAACTTTGGAGAGCAATAGCTCATATTTATAAGGTGTAATATTAGAGTTCAGTTTCCTTGAGTTCAACAAACATTTGCCAGGCTCCTTCTATATGCCAGGCACTGGACTGGGCACTGGGGACCCAAAGATCACTAACTTCTGCCATTGGAAACGCCTACCAGGAAGGATTAAAAGAGTGGCATAAAAGAGAGGTGATGCCTAACTTTGATTTAAAAAATAAAATTATTGTTCTGATGGATATTTGATATTCCTTATAATGATAACTCATCTCAAAATTACCCATTTTGTTAATTAAGATCTTAATCTGATTAAGACAGGGTAGGTTTTCCTGAACCTCTAAGGCTTCTGTGGAATAATATGTTTAGTCATCAACTACCAAAAGTGCCATCTTGCGGCAGAACAAGGGACTTACATGACTCAAAATTGTCAATAGCTGGGAGAATTAGCCCACCTTATGATTTCAGTTAATTTAAAGCAATGCCACACACACACACACACACACACACACAAACAAAATAATGCCACAAGTTTTATAGGAGATTCATGTTTCTTTGTATCCTATTCCCCTAAGCTGACACTGGTGTCAGTTTCAATACCTACATTCACTATGTTTCAAAAACTAAGTGAAAATCATAATCTTGGTTCTTATGCTTGTGTATTCTTTTTATCCTTTTTTTTTTTTTTTTTTTTTTGCCACTGTGTTTTCTGTGGAATGTGGATACAACATTTATGGGGAACTCTCACTCACTGTAACCATTTATTCCTGCATTATTTTTACAAACACATGGTGAAAATAAGGTGTCCTTTGAAATTTTGCATCTGAATTTTTGCACCTCTTACTAAATCCATTCTCCACATTATAACCAGTGATCTTTCTAAAAACACAAGTCTGATCTTAACTTTGCTTAAAAGTCTTTAAGGTTCCCTATTTGTTTCAAGAAACTCTCTGAACTCTTTCACGTGATTTATAAGGTCTTACATAATCCAGGCCTTGCGACAATCTTATTTCTTGATGTTTTCTTTCTTTGCCTAACTAACTTCTACCTATTATCCAGTTCTCCATTTATGACACCTGTGATAAGCCCTCCCATGACTTCCCAAGTCTCGGTTAGGTGCCTCTCTGCAGTGCTTTCGCTCTCCTCTATCATCACTAACCTGTGTGCTCATCAAGGTTCCCCATTAGACTTTGAGCAGGAACAATGTCCATCTTGTTTATTGCTGTAGTCCTTGCACCTAGCACAGTGCTTGGCACATCATGGGGCTGCAATATGCATTTAGTTGAATGAAAATCTATATCTATTCTCATCTCCCGAGATGGCATTTCTTTTTTTCTTCTTCTTTCTTTTTTTTTTTTTTTTTGAGACAGAGTTTCACTTTGTTGGCCCAGGCTGGAGTGCAATGGCTTGATCTCAGTTCACTGCAACTTTTTCCCTCCTGGGTTCAAGCAATTCTCCTGCCTCAGCCTCCGAGTAAGCTGGGATTACAAGCATGGCCACCATGCCTGGCTAATTTTTTTTTTTTTTTTTTTTTTTGTATTTTTAGTAGAGACAAGGTTATCCATGTTGGTCAGGGCTGCTCTTGGAACTCCCGACCTCAGGTGACCTGCCCAAAGTGCTGGGATTACAGGCGTGAGCCACCCCACGCCCGCCCTGAGATGGCATTTTCAATAGTATAATTTCCTAGTTACTGTCTAGGGCTCTGTTGAAAGGATCTCTTCCAGATCCAAATCCCACATGTATCCTGATGAGTTTAGCCCCACTGAATGGGAGATACCTGAGTGTACCTCACAGTACCAATGTATAATTTCATTGGCAAGAGGGCCAAGTAAGTAATTTTAGGGTTCCTAATGCTGTCAGTAACAAATAAATACAATAAAACTTGATAAAAGAATAAGATAATCTGATAGAATGTGTCTACATTTGAGCGCTGCATCTGAAGAATTAGAAATGTATAATTTTCCCCATGGCTTGGGTTTTACCACTGCCAAAATTCCATGTAATTGCCTCTTAGACAATCAGGGTTATTACAAGTAAATAAAATTGTGTTGTTTGGTGGTGTGTCACAAATAATCCTGATTGCAAAAGAGAGCAAAAAATAACTCACGAAGGTTTATGATCTAACAAAGAATCAGAATGTTGCTCCCTCCTCTTCTCTGTCTCTCACCCACATCCATACATACATGCTCAACCCAAAAGAAGGAACAATGGGGAGAATTTATTTCTAACTTAATAAAAGTTACTCACCTAACAAGCTCCAAAGTCCTTGCTCCTTTTTCCTTGCCATTTCCTCCTGTACTTTACAAAGCATATCTTCAATGTTCATAACCACCTCAATGAGGTCAGCCTGGGCTCCTTTAAATCTCTAACTCTGTCCTTCCTGGTTTGATAATTCTGTGATGAGACACTTGAAGTTTTCTGAAGCTGAGATAAAATGTCATGTTCCTTTCTCCCAAGGTACAGAATATGATTATTCTCAATGATGTGATGGTTCTGGAGACTCAGTATTCTTTGGATCCCATGCATGGGCCTCCCACATTTTTCCATGTTGAATCCCATCAGATTGATGGCAGAAATCTAGCCTCAAGCCATTTTCTCTTTTCCCTCTCTGGTTGACTGGGGGACTGAAATGACTATAATAAGAATCATGGAAGACTAGCGGTTTTTTTTTTTTTTTTTTTTTTTTTTTTTGAGACGGAGTCTCACTCTGTCGCCCAGGCCTGAGTGCAGTGGTGTGATCTTGGCTCACTGCAAGCTCTGCCTCCCAGGTTCCCGCGTTCTCCTGCCTCAGTCTCCCGAGTAGCTGGGACTACAGGCGTCTGCCAGCACACCAGCTAATTTTTTATATTTCGTGAAGGGTGTCACCATGTTAGCCAGGATGGTCTCGATATCCTGACCTCGTGATCTGCCCGCCTCAGCCTCCCAAAGTGCCAAGATTACAGGTGTAAGCCAATGTGCCCGGCTGATCAGTGGGTTTTAAAACAGTGCAGAAATGGGATGGCTGGGTCAAATGGTATTTCTAGTTCTAGATAGGATTATAAGTCATGTTGCTATAAAGACACATGCACACATATGTTTACTGCGGCACTATTCACAATAGAAAAGACTTGGAATCAACCCAAATGTCCATCAGTGACAGACTGGATTAAGAAAATGTGGCACATATACACCATGGAATACTATGCAGCCATAAAAAAGGATGAGTTTGTGTCCTTTGTAGGGACACGGATGCAGCTGGAAACCATCATTCGCAGCAAACTGTCGCAAGAACAGAAAACCAAATACCGCATGTTCTCACTCAGAGGTGGGAATTGAACAATGAGATCACTTGGACACAGGAAGGGGAGCATCACACACTGGGTCTTATTGGGGGGAGGGGGTAGAGGGGAGGGATAGCATTAGGAGATATACCTAATGTAAATGACAAGTTAATGGGTGCAGCACACCAACATGGCACATGTATACATATATAACAAACCTGCACGTTGTGCACATGTACCCTAGAACTTAAAGTATAATTAAAAAAACCCGGGAGGCGGAGCTTGCAGTGAGCTGAGATCGGGCCACTGCACTCCAGCCTGGGTGACAGAGCGAGACTCCGTCTCCAAAAAAAAAAAAAAAAAAAAATTAAAAAAAATAAAACAGTACAGAACAAAACACCATGGCCAGCGTTTTACCCCTGTGATATTGTCACCACTGTCAGCAGTAGCAGCTTCAATTAAGTACCTATCTCTGAAAGCTGCATTGGGTATGAAGGAAATCTACCTGTATTGTTTACAGCCTCCTTTGGAACACAGAGTTTAGCTTGTAATGGATTAGCTTTATCATCTCTTGCCTCTGCTATGTTGCATTTACCAGTTCACAGATGAGTTCACCTTGAGATCTCACCCTGGATGTTAAGTATTATTTCCTGCTGAATAGGATTTTCCTTAACCTCTTGCTACTAGTTTTAAAATCAAACATCTCTGAAAGACACAGAGCTTGAAGAGTCAAAATTATTTTTTAAAAAATGAATCTCTGATTTTAAGAATAATACATGTTTATTATTTAAAAATTGGAAAATTATCAACATATAATGGAAGGAAGAAATACCTGTAATTCCACTACTCAGGATTCCTCACAACCTTATGAGACAGATACTAGTAGTTGTCCCATCTTACCAACAAGGAAATTGATTCACAGAGTCATTAAGTAACTTGCCCATGGCTACAGGACTAGTTAGTGGTGGCCATGAAGCTAGTAGGTATGGGCATCTGACTCCAGTGCTCCCGCATATGCCTTCCAGTGAGTAATATCTGAACAGCAGTGGAAATTAGCATCTTTCTCCTGAGATCTCAGTTGTGTGGTACAGGAGCTACAAAAGAAGTACAAGGACAGACCCAGAAGTAACACAGGGAGGATAGTCTTCCTCTGAGTAAAGATAAAAAATACAAAAGTCAAGGTTTTAGACAGCAGTAAGAAGTAACCCAGGTTTTATATTGGAGGCATACTTTTGTTTAAACCCTTGTTCTGTCTGGGAGATTATATTATTTTTTAGGAGAAAATAAAAACAATGCATAGTGATATTTCATTTAGCCATTATTATCAAGAGAAAATTCTTCTCCTTCTTCTCCTTTTTCCTCTTCCTCTTCTTCTTCTTCCTCTCTCCTCTCTCTCCCCCTCCCCCACTTCTCCTCCTCCTCCTTCTACTTCTTATTCTTTTTTTTTTTTTTTTTTTTAGAGACGGGGTGTCACTATGCTGCCAAGGCTGGTCTTGACCTCCTGGCCTCAAGCAATACACCCACCTTGTCCTCCCAAAGCACTGGGACTATGGGCATGAGTCAGCATGCCTGGCCAATAATAATAATAATTATTATTTATTTATTTATTTATTTTTGAGATAGAGTCTCACCCTGTCGCCCAGGCTGAAGTAGAGTGGCGCGATCTCGGCTCACTGCAACCTTAGCCTCCCGAGTAGCTGGGATTACAGGCGCCTGCCACCACGCCCAGCTAATTCTTGTACTTTTAGTAGAGATGGGGTTTCACCATGTTGGCCAGGCTGGTCTCGAACTCCTGACCTCGTGATCTGCTCACCTCAGCCTCCCAAAGTGCTGGGATTACAGGCGTGAGCCACCGCACCTGGCCAATAATTATTATTCTAACTTTAGTATATGTGTTGGCAAAGTGAGCACTATTCTTCTAGATAAGTAAATTGTTCGGATCACTAAAGGATAACTCTTCTAGCACCAAAATGCACTGATTTTTAACTATGAGTTATCTATTTATTTTTTTTTTTGAGACCAAGTCTCTCTCTGTTGCCCAAGCTGGAGTGCAGTGGCACAATCTCGGCTCACTGCAACCTCCGCCACCTGGGTTCAAGTGATTCTCCTGCCTCAGCTTCCCGAGTAGTTGGGATTACAGGCACACGCTCCCATGCCTGGCTAATTCTTTTTTGTATTTTTAGTAGAGACGAGGTTTTGCCTTGTTGACCACACTGGTCTCGAACTCCTGACCTCAGGTGATCCGCTTGCCTCGGCCTCCCAAAGTGCTGGGATTACAGGCATGAGCCACCGTGCCCAGCTGAATTAAATATTTCTAATGATAACATACCACCTCTCTGCCTTCTTAAATAGTTTTTTTTGTTTGTTTGCTTTTTTGTTTTTGTTTTTGTTTTTTTTGAGATGGAGTTTCCCTCTTGTTGCTCAGGCTAGAGTGCAATGGTGTGATCTTGACTCACCACAACCTCCACGTCCCGCGTTCAAGCGATTCTCCTGCCTCAGCCTTCTGAGTAGCTGGGATTACAGACATGCACCACCACACCTGGCTAATTTTGTATTTTTAGTAGAGATGGGGTTTCTCCATGTTAGGCTGGTCTTGAACTCCCGACCTCAGGTGATCTGCCCACCTCAGCCTCCCAAAGTACTGGGATTACAGGCATAAGCCACCGTGCCCGGCCATTCCTAAACAGTTTAACCTTTCCTTGATAATCTGAGATCATCATCATTAATCATTTTGTTTATTTGTCACCCAGGCTGGAGTGCAGTGGCACAAACATGGCGCACTGCAGCCTTGACCTCCCCGGGCTCAGGTGATCCTCCCAAGTAGCTGAGACTACAGGCATGCCTGGCTAATTTTTGTATTTTTTGTAGAGATGGGTTTCACCATGTTGCCCAGGCTGGTCTCGAATTCCTGTCCTCAAGTGATTGCCTGCCTTGGCCTCCCAAAGTGCTGGGATTACAGGCTTGAGCCACCATGTTCCATCATTAATCATTTTTATGTCAATTATTGTCCTGTGCTATATAATTCCTTTACAGTTGTCCGCAAGAATTACTGAATTAAATGGTGACATTTGCCACCATTATTCAGATTAATGACATACAGACCTTTTAATGTTCCTTTTCTATGTTTTTCTCACCTAAAACTCCTCTTATGTACCCATAATGGATTCCCTGTGGTTCCCCAAACATGCACTGGATTTCTTTGCTCCTGTGGGTTTTCTCTACCTTGGATGCCCCATCCTACCCTCTCTGGACATTGGAAATCTTGCCATGCTTACAGCCCAGCTTAGAACTATCTCATTCATGAAGCCATTCTTCAACTTTACCAGTCAAAAGGAATCTCTTTCTCCTCTTAGCTACCTGGGGAGTTTGTCCATCTTCTCAGTCATTATTTATTGTCTGGCATTTGTTTAATGCTTTCAATTTATAGAACATTTTTGCATACATAATGTATTATCCTCACAACAGTCTGTTATTATCATCACTATACAGATAAATAAAGAGGATCATAAAAGGCACAGTTCCAGGCCAGAAATGTTAATGCTCTCCTTCCCTACTTCCAGCACTGCCAGGCCACTGAACATTCCATCTCAGTCCACCCAAACTTCACTAAAAGAATGACGTTATATACCTGTAATCCCAGCATTTTGGGAGGCAGAGGCAGGCAGATCACTTGAGCCCAGGAGTTTCAGACCAGCCTGGGCAACATGGTGAAACCCCGTCTCTACCAAAAAACAAACAAACAAAAAATTAAAAAATAATAAAATAAATTAACTGGGCATGGTGGCATGTGCCTATAGTCCAAGCTACTTGGGAGACTCATGTGGGAGGATGGCTTGAGCCTGTGAAGCAGAGGTTGCAGTGAGTTCACATCACACCACTGCACTCCAGCCAGAGTGACAGAGCCAGACCTTGTCTCAAAAAGAAAAGAAAAAAAAATGCTCAGCATCAAAATTGACTGGGAAGCATTCAGAATAGATATTGTTGGCCCAGACCCAGAGTCCCTGAATCAGCATCTGTAGAGCTGGGACAAATACATATTTTGGGAGTTTTTTGTTTGTTTGTTTTTTAAAGTTTCCATCGTGATCCCAGTGATTACTCGGGTTTCAGTAGCATTGAGTTAACCCATTTATCTGTTATTATTGAGATGTGTTTTCTGTAATTACAATAAGTAACCCTCTTTAGACGTTCAGAGCAGAAAGAGTGACTGAATGCCAGTTTATGGAAGCCAGAACTTTTTCTTGGGAAAAAATTATAGATATCTATTTATGAATCAACCACCCACACCTTGGATTATCCACTGCAACTCAAACCTCCTCTGTTCATATCATGAAACTGGACCAAGCAAGAATAGACTCATGATCAGGGCATAGAGTAGGCAGGTATCCAAGCAGGACCACAATGCAATACATGTGGCTTATTTATTCTTCTTCCCCCCTCCATTAGTTCAGATGATCAAGAATAGAATGAGCCAATGGTGGGCAACACTACTTATTGGCCTGTGAATTTCTTACTCACCACTGTAATTGTTCAAACCCAGCATCTTGGACCTCTTTGCCATTTCAGCACTGAAAACCTACAAGAAGCAAAACAGAGCAGAGAGTCATAAGCAGGGCTGATAGCCATTGTCATCAAAGTCTCCCTCTCTGCACACACAGCACTTGACTTCATCCACTCTGTCAGTCCCATTCCTACTACCACAAATCTAAAGCAGCCTTTAGGAAAGTCCCAGAGAAGAGGACCACCATCTATTAGAACACAGAAGGAACAAGCATAGGAAAAATGAAGATGAAATCAAAATCTGGTATAAATAAAGAAGACTATGCATTCCAAGACAAAATATAACCATGCATTCATTCAACAGATTTTAATGCCCTGCTTGCACTAAACCAAAGCTGTGGATATGTCACTGAAGAAGAAAACTATAGGTAACTAATAAAACACAAAATCATTTTAAAAATGGTATACACACCAAACTTGGTCTGTAAATTGAATAATAAAATAATCTGTTTTATGTAAGTTAATTCCTATAGAGTGCTTGAAATTGCTCCTGGCGTGTAGTAAACATTCAGTACATGGTAGCTATTGTAATTGTTATTATATGAAAGTCTATAGACAAAGATTTGTGCATATTGCAACACAGATCCATTAACATAATGTCTATTAGAAATAACACATCTCACTTAGCTTTTGGAGCCATGGTATTTTACACTGTCTTCCTTGTCCAAAGTAGATACAATTGGCAATACAGATAGTCCTGACTTACAATGGTTTGATTAAGGACTTTTTGGCTTTATTGATGGTGCAAAAGTGATATGCCTTCAGTGGAAACTGTATCTTGAGCTTTTCCCAGGCTGGTGACATGTAGTAAGATGCTCTTTCATGATACTGGGAACAAGCCAAGCTCCCAGTCAGCCACAGTAAACACTGTATTCAGTAAGTTACATGAGATATGCAACACTTTATTACAAAATAGGCTTATGTTAGATGATTTTGCCCAACTATAGACAAATGTAAGTGTTCTGAACATGTTTAAGGTAGGATAAGCTAAGCTATAATGTTTGGTAGGTTAAGTGTATTAAATGCATTTATCTCACTGCAACTTATTTAGGAAGAAAATATGTGCTTATTAGAAGGCTTATTAGAAGATGTATACATTATATCTGCACACACATCATACCTCCATGTGGATATAAAGTAGTGTTAATGCTGAAAAGAGCCTGAAGGAATGGTCAACATTCACTTTTAATGTAAATTGCTGTGTAAGATAATCCTCTTGTTTGAGTTACAAAACTGAAAGATGTATAATTCTCTGTGTTTGTGTTTAATGGTTCAGAACAAAGTTTTGAGCACAGACAGACACCAAGGTTGATCTTGGTTTGGCCATGTGACTAGCTGTGTGCATATTAACCTCTGGGTTATGTTTCTGGATTTGTGAAATGGAGACGACAACAGTAGCTTCATCAAAAGATTAAGGGGAGAAGGAAATGAGACACCTTCTTAGCGCAGTGCCTGACAGACACAATACATGGCACTATATATATATACTATATAATATATATATATATTACACACACACTTTTTTTTTTTTTTGAGATGGCCCTGGCTGGAGTGCAATGGTGCAATCTCGGGTCACTGCCACCTCTGTCTCCCAGATTCAAGTGATTTTCCTACCT